AAGACTGTGGGCTTATAACGCTAAAAATCGGATTTCGGTAAACGCAGTGTGCTGAGTACAGACAGCACATTTTGTAATTTTGTGCTTAACTACAAATAAATAAGCATAGTTATAATCAATAATCACAGAATTTCATTCTTACAGGCATAAATAAAAGACCTCATATAGTCACCTTGAGAATGTTTTATGAGATGGTGAAGGTTTATTGATGTTTGATTACAAAGCGGCATTGCTCGTATAAAACAGCGTTGTTCTTCTTCTTTTTATAAAACGACACTGCAGCTGTAATATTAGTCGGTTTAAATGTTTTAGGCTGTGGGCTACAAAAATATGGTAAAAGCTATGACACAAGAAACAATTCTACAATTGAAACATAATGTAAAAAAAGCGAATAAAACAAATTGGTTATCAAATAAAGAGGAAGGAAACGTAAAAAGAGAGAGAAAGAACTTTCAATTATTTGGTGAAAAGAAAAAAACAAAAGAAGAAAAACGATGGCGATATGAAAGGTGTTACATAAAATAAAGAATAACGAGATAAGATAGAGTGATCGTCGAAAACATTTCTATTGCCAATTTTAGGCATGACATAACCAATACTGTGAAACTGATTGTTGCGGTTTTGAAGAACCAATCATGAAAAAATAAACGTATAGTTAAGCTACTCATGAATTATGACGTCGGAAAAACAGTGAGAGAGTCTCACTGACAACATTTTAAAGATGACATATGAAAACATAATTTACAGTATACATTTGATGAAGAAATCAAAGAAGGTTGTAAAATATCTTCAGAGGGTTTATCCAGATGAATAGTAATAACTTGCCATTATCACTAATTTTATTTATTTTATTTTCCCTAATATGTTTCGTAAAAGCCTTTTTACTCTACCTAAACACTATAGTGTATTCCGTTTTATAGTTTCAACTGTACTAAGTGATATCTAATGATATATAGTAATTATAAGTTAATAATACTTTTTACACGATTATATAAATAAATTTTTATTAAGAATTTACTACTTATGATTATTAATAGTTTCGTTTTTACTTTACTTACTGATTAAGTATATTTTATTACACGTTACAGCTTTTACAGTAAGTAAGATTTGTTTTTAGAACAGATACGACGTTTCCATCGCACTAGTGATCGAAACGTCGTACCTGTTCTTAAATCAAATCTTATTTATTGTAAAAGCTGAAACTTGTAATAAAATATTTATGGCTATTGATTTATATTTTTTATGTGAAGTATTTTAATGTTAATCACTTTCAGTTTGAGGAACAAAATTCATGAAACCAAAACTTTAGAACTGTCGAATCAATATCTATGAGATACAATTACAAAACTGTTTTTCCATACAATAATTTAATGAAAATTACATTAAATATATTTCCCCTGAAGTACGAAACGGACAAAAGATCCTTTTTGCGTTGTCACAACATATATTTAAAGAATGATTTTAAAGAGTTTTTCCTTTCAGGGAAAATGGCGTTCTTCTTTTCAAAAGCAAACACATAAATTAAAAATATAATATAAGTTGTTAGAGTAGAAGTAGAAAAGAAAAACGTAGTGTATAGGTGTATAAGAGACAGGAAGTAATGCATTTACTTGTTTGTTTCTAATATTCGCACAAAACTGCAGAATAATTATCAGTGTTAATCGACCCTAATTTGGAATTGAAAAAACAAGGGGAAAGGCAGCTAGTCAACAGCATTTACTACAACTCATGGGCTACTCTGAACGAATAATGAAATTTGATCCTTATTCTCATTATGCACCCACGTCAAGAAGAATCAAAGATTGGAGATGGCACAAATGAAAAGGCAACAAAGAAGGGAAGCATTATTATATAGACATAAAACAAAATGAACAAGACCTGGAATGGCGTGGACCCAGCTGAGGAGAGCAGCCCAGAACAGAGTCCGTTGGCGAGGTGTTGTTGCGGCCCTATGCTCCACTGGGAGTCTACAGGATTAAGTCAAGTAAGTCAAGTGTTTCCATATACATATATATATATATATATATATGCGTGATAAGCCTAAAACAATTCTGAGGCCAATTGTGACAATAAAAATAAGATTGAATCTCTAGCTGATGAAAGAACAGAAGTTTCTGTCTCGCATTATATGTGATTTTTATTTTAAAAAGTATCAAAGATAATGAGGAAGATTTTTCTTTTTACATAAAAAGCAGCTATTTCATGTGATGAGTATTTCATTTTTAGAGCGCTAAAAATGGGAAGAGCCGGCCTTCGCTTCACTCCCGACCGATCTCCTCCACGTCTGTTTTGGCCTCCCAGCTTTTCTTTTCCCTTGTGGGTTCCAGTCCAAGGCCTGCCTTGTAACGTTGTCAACTGGTTTTTGCAGTGTGTGTCCGATCCAGCCCCATTTTCTAACTACAAGCAAATAAACAAACAAACTTATTTATTTATTGATGTAATGGAACCGAACCAAAAAGCCTAATCTCCACTACACTGTATCACACTGGTCTCGTGTTTCGTGCTCTACGGTTTTTGTTTTTGATTTAATTTTTTGGAATTCAAAATGGAAAAACTCTATCGTTGACGTTCTCGTTCCATTAGACATTGAAACTAAAACAGCGAATGTGTCGTCTTTACTTATTCTATAGCCACTTCTAGCCAGTTCAGTTGTTAGTCCTGTTGCCTAATTTAATTAAATCGAACTGCATCCCGTTAATTCCACCAGCTGAAGGTCTTATCGATCGCAGGGGTAGCTTGTGCATCAAATATATTAAGTGATACGTAGTTAACGAGTTTATTAATACTCACATCAACCTCCCTCCCATCATCCCCCAGTGGCTTAGCGGTAAGTCTCAAAACTTATAACGCTAAAATCCTAGTTTCGATACCTGTGCTGGACACATATGCAGACAAAAAATACATCCTTGACCTATCAACGTATTTAGTGTGCAGTCATAAACTGTTGAGACAAAATATAACTTCTTGTAACGGACATTTAAACGTTGTGTTTGGTTAAGTTGTAAAATTTGACGTCAACTAAACAGTCATAGAGCTATGGAAAAAAGACCAACCAGAACCCAGTCAGCCAAGACATCAGGAAACGAAAATGGTTTAAGCACAACGCTACACAATGAGCTATCTGTGCTCTGCCCACCACAGGTATCGAAACCCGGTTTCTAGCGTTGTAAGTCCGCAGACATACCGCTGTGCCACTGGAGGGCAATAAATAAATAATAAATCCTCTTCCACACCTTGGTGTGTTATAAGAGTGACGGTCAACTCCTACTGTTCGGGTCAACAAGAGTAGCTGAAGGGTTGGTGGTGCTGACTTTGGTGTGTTATAAGAGTGACGGTCAACTCCTACTCTTCGGGCCGACAAGAGTAGCCGAAGGGTTGGTGGTGCTGACTTTGGTATGTTATAAGAGTGACGGTCAAATCCTACTCTTTTGGCCGACAAGAGT